CCATAGACAGTGATGGAAAAATTTACCAAGAACCAGCAACATGCCTCCACGCAAAGAAGGCAAACAGCCTAGAGAAAATAATGCTCAGGGAATCTTATCAATAAGGATAAATATTTGATGGAACCATATACAGAAGGAAGTAACAGACTCTTTTTAGTGAAAATTGAAATACTGGAAGTTTCACTTAAACATGAGGAAGACATTTTACTTTGTGGGTGACTGGACGCAGCAACAGGATGCCCAGAGAGCTATTCAAAAAACAACTTCATAGCATCCTGGGCAGCCTGGCCTATATGAGCCAAAAGGTTGGACAAGACAGTATGCAGAATTGACTTCTAGCCTCAACTTCCCTGTGACTGTCATTTTTGAATTCTGTAGATAGGAACAGAGATCAACCCATCCATACTGACACTGTTTCCCAAGTTCACCAACTTCAATTTGACTTTCTACAGTCTGCAAGTCTCTTCCACAACTGAGAATTTACCTCCAGCTTCCTTTAAGAACAATACATGGTGCCGGTCTAAGTTCTCATGTAGTCAGAGAATGAAGAAGTTTTAGAAGCTCATGCAGATCTATTTTAAGTTTTCAGATTATACTGCAAACTGGTTTCATCTGTAGGTGGGTAAAGTTAAGAGCAATAATTACAAAATAGCAACTAAGGAGGCTGGAAGTAGAGCTTCAAACTCCCAGTATATTTTTTGGAATTGGAGAGGTGCCAGGCTCCCTTTTGGAGTAAGTGCTATGTGACAGCACTCCAGCAAACGCCAAGTATATTTGATCAGGTACTAATAAGAAGTCTAGGAATTCACTAGGGTGGTAACTTGGAAGCAGAAGAGCATGCAAACAATAGTTTTCAGTTAGTAACCAGAAGTTTGCACTAGGAGTTTTAAAGCCCATCTCCATGAACTAGCAAATTCAAGGTATGCATTCACTGCAAGCCTGGTATTCCACATCAGCTCTGGTATCTGCTTGATATAGTGCCTGTAAAGCAGCCTTGAAGCTCTCATCAGCTGTATAGAGTTAACTGAGGCAAAAACGAGGTAGGCAGAGCTTCCAAGAATAAAAGCTGAGAAAGTTTCAGGTAGCTGGCCCCAAGTACAGTAACAGCAGTCAGAAATGTCTGAAAAAGGACAAGGGAGCCTGAGTCCTAGGACAGGTGGGATACGAAATGTTTTGGAGTTCTTGGCAAGAAACCAGTGATGTGAATCATCACAGCTCAGACAGCTGTCAGTCTCAAGGCAGGCCACAGCAAGAATAGCCAACACCACCATGTTAGGAAGATACTCTTATGCAATTCTAGAGGGACCACAGCGAGATGACAGTGGAACTAAGCCATACAGAACACTTCCTTTCTAACTTTGCACAGCCTGGCACTTCCAAACCTTAGCAGCAGCCTACTAAATCTGCACAGCCTCAGAGGGGTTGAATCCGAGTCTTATTGCAGCAAAACATCTTCTTCTCACCTCTGCCCTAATCTCAGTAACCTATTAATACTGCCTTTTCTCCTTATTGTCAAAGCACTTGTCCTGGTGCGCAAAGCAGATCTGCTATCGAAAGTAACAAACTTGAGCACTGGAGTCAAGTAGTCATGTGCAAGCAGAACTTCCTTCTTTTTTAAGAAGGGCAGAGAGAAATCCACACACTTCCTCATGTCTTGCCCTCCTCAGCAGTGGATCTGCTCTGAAAACAAGATCTCATTTAGCTTATATGTGTTCCAAAAGCTAAACCAGCAAGGTCTCAGTTTTACAACTAATTCTACAACTAACCCTGCCATGCAACTTGAGGAACTGTTTTCTTCTGCATGTTTCTCCTCTCACCTGATGTTAAAAAACCCCAACCGAATAAAAGGAAAAAGACCCAAAACACAAGAAACATGGTAGCACTCAGGTTCAACTTACGCTGTCTCCTTATCTGAAAGCTAGCAAGGGTGAAGGGAGAATAAACTCAAAGACACTCACGGTGCTCAGGCATCAAGACAGTATTTTAGGCAATTAGATTTCAGGGGAACAGAAAGATCTTTACAGAAACACATGGCCCATATATAAATGCTTTAGAAACAAGAATCTACAACTCAAGTGTTTCATGTCTCCTGCAGCATGACTGTAAAAGTCAAGAACTTGGCTAAAATGTCCTTTTCATCTAAGAGATAAGATGCTGTCAAAAGTCAAGGCGTCCTGGTTTCTAAAACTACCGTCCATTACAAGTCAGGATAAAGACACCACAGTTCTGCAGCCCTCTTCCTAAGATTCAGAAAACTTGAGACTAGTCTACTTAGATGGTCTCAGTAAACAGCACAAAAAATTTTCCTTCCCCTTCCAATTACCTACTGCTCTAGTAGCATTAGCCACTTCTTGAACAGCAACCTAAGGTTTATGAGATATTAAAGAAAGTTACACAGGATCTGAAATACTACATTATTCGCACATTTGAATCAAAATCCAAAAGGAGACACAGAGGCAGATGTTCCTGTCCCCCAGGTTTTTCTGACTCAGGATAAAGTGATGTTCTTTCTCAATGGATCAAAAAAAAAAGAGTAAGAAAAACATGCTTCAAAGAATACAAAGCAGTGATGGCAGAGGCTCAACCACTTCTATGCTATACATCAGTGGCAATAAAAATTGAAGCACTTTATGGGCAGAAAACCCCCCTTTACTCCCTTTGCTTTCTCCACTCAGAGGATTTCAGTCTTGGTACTTGTAGCTTGCAGCAGATATTAGAAAGTATTTGCTCAGAGAAAACATGAGGAGCCCAGAAAAAGCAAATTATACACTTCATAGTGATGGGACAGCTATTTTCACTAGCCCTCTTCCCAAAGCGATATCCTAGTACATGTCTGAATATGGACAGAATCTGACTCAAAGACACTTTGAAGCAGGAGACTTGGAACAAAATTTCTGCAGTACCAATCTCCACCAGATTCTCCCAAAAGACCAGATAGAAGATTAGAACAGCTCCTACTCAAGTATCAATAAATAACTAATGCAGAGCTTTAAGCCTAAGTCAGACCTAAATGCTGACCGCCCTTCGTTACTCAGCTATTGGAAGTTACTCAGCACTATTAGTTGATTAATGAGCCAGTGTCTCAAAAGATAAATAATCCATCATGAGAGATTAAGATTTTTAAGATTAACACTGGAAGGGTCCAAGGCCAGGCTGGATGAAACTCTGAGCAATCTGATGTAGTGAGGTGCCCCTGTCCACAGCACAGAGGTTGGACTAGATCATCTTTGAGCTCCCTTCCAACCCAAACCATTCCATGATTCTAAGACTGAGACATACTAACCACCCAAAAAGTGGTTTTACCTGTTTACCTCCACTTACCCTCCCTCCCTCTGTAGACTACTTAATACTCAGGGCAGGCATTGCCTTAAAGCTAGTAACACCTGTTTATTGAATTTTTTTTCCTGAGATGGGAAAGAAGTTACTACATTTTTTCTTGCCAGTGTGTGAAATACTAAGCTGAAGAAGGGACATCCCATACAGAGCAAAGCTGTTGATCTCCATCCATCAAGAGGATAAGACATATGGCTTTTTCTGCTAATTCAGCCAGAAGGAAAAAAATCATATTCTCTTCCTACTGGATATGCTTTTACTCTGCAAGGAGCATAGTCTAGTGTCATTTCCAGGTCAAGCACGGAACTGCACTCAAGTCTAAAGTCATCACTTACCACAGCCACTTTTGTTCTGCCTTTTAGAGTATTTCTATGCTGCCAAGTGCCTACAACTGAATGGTACTACATACAGGGAACAGGAAGGTGGATTTTATTTCTATTGCTGATGGAAAAACTGGGCAAGAACTTTCCCACTTATGAGAAGTTAGCTGACCACAGCCTAAAGCTAGAGTTATTTCTGCCCCCAGGTTGTCAAGAATACACTGATACACTTCTCAAAACCTCAAAGAAGTAAAGCAGAGAGAAGCTTGCTTGCACTCCAAAAGCAAAGAAGTTCTTTAATACAACTGAGAAAAGACACTACAGGGTGTAAGGTACTCCTCATAACTGCTTCTCACCAGCTATACAGCAGTGTGGACGGACCGTGCCAACAGCTGCAGCTTCTCAGCTGCAAGATCTGTGAAGGTAGCTGCCAATTTCTATTGCTACAGGTTTGCCAGACAACAACCTAGTGAGATGATTAAACCATCTATCACAGACAAAAACCTCCACAATTTCTACCCCTGCCTTAGTCACATCCCCTTTTCTCCACAAGTCATCAACTGACTGATTTGTTAGATGAAGGCCTAAGTTCTTGAAGAGAAGATAAACCTTGCTTCTCACAAAAGCAACAGTGGGCAAATGTTCAAGAAGAGGACTCCTTACATGGGCGGAAAGAAGCGCTGAATCCCTACATCACAGCTGCACACAGCAGATGGTGAAATATGGAAGAGGCCAGGCTACCTTGACTCACTCCCCTATAGCATGGGAGTGTATTGGGCCAGATACTGCTGACAGCCTCAAGGCTTTTGCAGCCTAAGGGATCCATCCTACTCAGAAGCAGGTCCATATTCCCCAGGACAACAGCCACAGAAAAAGCACTTCTTGACACCAGCAACTCAGTAATAATACCTGGTATGCACGAACTAGCTGTGCCAGAACTGCATTTAAACCCATATCACACCTTGCAGTTCTTGCTCCCAGAAAATCCTACCTTAAAAATTTCAGGAAGACTTGTCCACAGGGATACTAAGTCCTTGCAAGAGCAGCTAATGTATTGGCAGCGCTGTACTACCAGTACCGAATTATTACCACGAGGAAGGCACTTCACAGAGTTTGCTAGTGTCCTGTGAACATATACCAGAGCCAGGGAAAGGAAAACAAACATAGATACTCCTGCAGAACACTGTGTCTGTATTAGTGCAGAGAAGAAGCGAGCAGGAGTTCAGCCTGGAAAGGACAGTCACAAACAAGCTGATGATAAGGAAACCATGCCAGCTCCAAGCCTTCCGCGTGAGCACTACAGGAAGGAGACAGCAAAGGAGCTGCAGCAATGCCTGAAAAACTTACACCTATCTGCAGACATGAGCCACAGGAGTTACAGTAAATAAAATCCTGCCTCTCGCAACCCTCCTGCGACAGCGCGATTACCAGTGTCCCAGACGGTCCCTCGCAGCAAGGGACACGGTATGTTCTCCCCCCGGAGCCGCTCTGTGCTCTTGCAATTGATGTCAGCAGCGCCCAGGGCTTTATCCCACGACGAGACGAAGCCGGGAAAAGGGATGTGTCAGGGAAACACACATACACAGTCCTTCTTCCCGCCCTCCTTCAACACCAGAGGCCCCCTCAAATGCCACAATCCCTTCCCCCGGGCCATACCTTGTCGGCGATGCTGCGGGGCAGCAGCAGGTCGGGGCTGGGGGTGAGCGCCGGCCCCATCTCCTCGCTGCTGGACGTGGCCAGAGGATGCGGCATCTCCCGCAGCGACTTGGGCCCGGAGGACGGGAGGGGCTTAGGGGCGCTGGCCGCGCCGCCCGACATCGCGCCGGGGCTGGGCAGCGACCGAGGCAAGGCAGGAGGGAGCGGAGGCCGCGCCGCCTCGGCGAGAAGCTGCGGGGCCGCGGCCGGACCCTGCCCGCCACCGCCGCGACACGAGGAGGCGCAGGAGGCGGCGGCTGCGGCGACGACGGAGGAGGAGGAGCGAGCGCAGCATCCGCCTGCGCCGCCGCCCGCCCCCTTCCAAAGCGACATCCGCGCCCCCTGCCGCCCCGCCCCGCCCGGCCCGCACGGCGGCGGGCACCGGCTCTGCCCGCGGCCGCCACCCGGCGCAGCGGGGCGGGCCGAGGCGGAGAGGCGGCCCGGGCCGGCATCAAGATACGCGGAGCCCCGGGCGAGCTCGGGCAGGCAGCGGATCTGATGGAGCCCCAGGTGGGCCGGGCCAGCCGAGCCGGGCCGAGCCGGGGGAGGCACCGCGCCACCGAGCAGCCCCGACGGTGACCCCGGACTGCGGCGGGGTCACCGCACGCTGTCGAACAGCGGGTTAAGTGTCAGAAAAGCAATCATACTCCTCGACTTTTCAAGGCTCGCCGACCTCAAACTACGCTCAAGTTGGAAGGGAAGTTTGTAAATGGGGCGTGTTGCGGTGCAGGACCGACCCCAGCCGGGCTGAGGAGGGACAAGGCCCGGCCTCCGGGACTCCCTCACGGTGAGAGTGCACCGGATACACTGAGAGGTGTCTTGCCCGCAAGGCATGCATAGAAACATCCTTTCACTGATGCCATGTGTCTACTTTTGTCGCAGAGATCTCACGCTGAGAGATCTCCCATCGTTGTAGAATGCTTGATCCTGCTGAAATGAGCTGAAAGATACATCAAGACCTCTAGAAGCAATCCATGCAAATCCATCAGACAGCATGTAATCCATTACAAAAATTCAGTGATCTATCCACATTTAACAGCGTGGGAAAAGTGTTCATGTTGGTAGAGTAACCAATAAATAGGACATAAATCATAGTCCTAGTCTAAGATCTTTCCTGAGCAGGAAAAGAAGCTAAATCTGATGGATAAATTACTTTTTCCCAGATAATTTGCTCAGCACTAATTAGACACCATAGAGTAACATGCCACTGGGGAAAGTGATGAAGCACTGTAAGACTGTCACGATCCCTTCAAGCTACAGATAGATACATGAAGATAAACATACAGGTATATGACCAGGTAAGACTTGGATGCTGTAAATATTTCACTTGTATTTAACTTTCCTGGGGAGTAGACACCACTGAAATCAACAGGGCAGCACTAATACCTACAGCTGAGCTACCAAGTTTTACAGGTGTCACTGCCAGATGCCATACACCAGGACAAGCACGAAAGCACAACACTACGGACTCTTACTACAAAAAGAAGAAAAAAAAATCAATCCTTACTATAAATAACTACTTGATATTATTTAATGTTTGAACTCCAGCAGACATCAAAAGTCCAAACCTAGTGCCAGGCCCCAGTGAGAAAGTGGCTGTGAAATATTCCTTGTTCATTACACTTCAGAAACAACAACCTACTTATCTGTCAGAAAAAGGAAGCAATACACATTAGTCAGCTTAGATACATGCATCCCAACTTTCTTTTAGACTATCTAAATCTTAAGTGGAAACTATTGTGATAAAGCAGCAGGCAGGTTTGTGTATCTGCCACACTTTCATGAATTGGTTCCCTTCAGTTTTGTGACAGTCTGTATCTCAAAGGTTTATGACTTACTGAGAGCTCTTTTTCTCTTTTCCTTATGCCATGTCACCCAGCTGTGTTTCCAACTCAATCCTTTTCCAAAGGAGGCCTGGTCAGGGACACCAACACCTCCTGACGCTTGGAAACCTGGGGCCATTGTAGCCCTGTGCAAGTACAAATGACCTTCTGCTCATTAAACCTTGGCTTAGTGGGCAGTGAGCTGAGCATAAGGTGGAAGCATTCTTGGAGCAAGGAAGACTGGTGGTATCCAGGTTGCCTAAAGAGCAGGCAGTACAAGCAGCAGATTGAGGGCAGGATTTATCAGACTCTGCTTGGCACTCACTAGACCTCATCAGAAATCCTGTGTTCAATTGTGGAACCTTTATACAAGATGCTGACAAACTGGACAAAGTTCAGAGGAGGGCACTGAGATGGTTGGTGGCAATCTGCAAGCAGCAACTGCAGGGCTGAGGCTTTTTGGGCCTGAAGCAGATAGCTTCAAGGGCAGTTAATTGCATCCTCCAACATCCCACAGGGAAGGGGCGGAAAAGATGGAAGTGGGCTTACCAGAGGAGACCATAGGAGGAGGGCAAGAGGCAAAAGATCAACTGAAACAGGAAATTCCTGATGGATGTTAGGAACACCAAGTTCAAGTCAAGAGTCAGAGCAGGTTGCAGAGAGAGGTTGTGCAGTCCACCCTTGGAGATTCTCAAGACAATCTGGTGCGATCTCACGTCTGACCCTCCTTCAAGTAAGAGATTGGACCAGAGACCTCCCTACATCCCTTCCAGCCTGAATGACTCAGTGCTGCTACAGAAGTCATTATGTTCAATTTCTAAGGTTCATAAGGTGACCTCTCAATTAGCCTGTATACAAGGGTGAAGTTCCACGCTCCAGAGATTCACTTGTCTAGTTTCCTGTGATAGGGCAGTATATGCCTCTTTTTTATTAATTACAATTGTCTGTGTTACCTGTTTCTGCTATTTGATCATTTCATCGGACATAGAATACTTGGAAACATTTTCAAATAACTAACTGAATTAGTATATGCAAAATGCAGGAATATTTGTGCACCTGTGAATGCAAGTAAGCTGAAGTCTGGTTAGAAACTAAGTTCAGAAGACATTAGTGGAAGAGCTGTTATGCAAGAAAATTACAAACTTGCTGGTTATTATGGTGATATTCCTAAATTCTCTACATGCAAGTTATGATAAATTTCAGAATTCCAACACCATAGCATGCTATAAAGTCAAGCTGGCTAACTTGACACTAAGTCAACACTTAAATGTAATTTATGATAATAACATGCTTAAAAAAAAACAAACCAAAAAAATGGACAGGGTAAGTAATCTAGCCTTAACTGTCTTAATGACTAATGACAGATGTCTCTCATCCTCTGATTTTGGTGAGTACCAAATATGCAAAGATCTGTACAGACAGCAATCTAGGTATAACAGTGATACATATCTGAGGTAGCAAATGCAAACTATGATACTGAGAAACAAGACAACCAAGTTGGATGGAGCTCTGAGTGACCTGGTCTAGTGGGAGGTTCCCTGCCTATGACAAAGGGGGTGGAACTAGATGATTTTTTAGGTCCCTTCCAATCCAAACCATTCTATGTTCTATTGGAAGAGTTCAAAAATCATAAATCATACCTTAAAATGTATTAAAGATTACTTTAAATGTGTAATCTTAAAAATCTGTACAACTGTTTGGCCTTTGCTGTGTCTTCTGCAAGTTTGTATCACAGACAATGGTGGGTTTTTAGCTGCTTTTTCAGCTATAAGGGAAACCCATTTCTATTTTTTAACATGGAAGATGAGCATATTATGTAGTTGATTTCAAAAACTAGAATTTCAAAAAGAAGACAGAACACTGAATGTGAAATTAGAGTTAGGAACAAATTCTTGTACTGTGATTAGAAGTAGTCACACAATATGAACAGGGGCCATAAAGAACTCCAAACCTATTGTGCATGAAATTAAACAGAAAAAAATAGATATAGCAGTCTTCTTGTAGGAATTGTTTCCTACACACAAACAGGAACCTCTAAATGTGTCAGTATGTGGTCATCTGGCTCCAACAGCAGGCTCAAGAGGCACTACCAAAACCTGAGGAAGGAAAGTGTGTATTTTTATAATACCAGCAGTGAAATAAACAAATCTCTTAATTCTGCTAGGAAATGATGAGTGATTAAAAACATAGGTTTTGTATCCTTCTCCACTGTGGTGGTTTATTTTATAAATTATTTATAATATTTTCCTTGATGTTTATACTGGTAATTTTCTTTTTGTTAAACATCAACCAAGCTAAAACCATTCAGCACATGAAACATGCAACCAGAATAAAATACACAGTGAAAACCAAAATCAGGCTGAAAAGAGACTGCTATTCAATGCCCACATCTTAACCCAAGATAACTTGAAAAAACTGGCATGCTCTCCTAGCAAAATCATAGCTATTTATTATGTTTATATCATTTCAGCTCAGAAGCAGGATGAAACAGACAGGTGTAACACTAACTGGGCAAGAAGACAAATGGTCAATTTGGGGACCAAGAATCTCACCAATTCAAGAAAAATGTCACCAGTTTTACATGTTTTTTCCTGAAAAAATAGTTCTGTTACTGTATCACTGAAATCAAAGTCCTGCAGGCGACCTCTTAGGATTGTTTACAAGGATAAACCAGGAGAGGAATGATCCGCAGATGATGTACAGGAAAACCTATTTACAAATTTAAGGATAGCGCCTATCTTGCACTGCTGTTCTGGAGTGCCAGTTACTCCAGTAATACCACCCAGGATGTTTTTATAATGGCAGATGGCTTTTCAAGTGCTCAGTGTGAGCCTGAGGACTCTCAGTTATCTCTTAACATTCTTTTTGTAATGCATTTTTATCTTTTTGTCCAGATGAGACATAAAATGGCAAAAGGGTTTACAATGACTATCAGAAGGCTAAGTTCACATTGTATTTATTTACTAGACCAGACATGTAAAGCACACCTGCTTTTCATCAAGTATTCTATTTAAAGACGAAATGCTAGGATTCTCAATAGCATACTCCAGACAGTACAAACAATAAGGTAGGCTTGAGGCCACAGAGATACTGGCAGGCTTGGCTGGTTTGACAGGTCAAGGGCACTAAATTTTTTTTCCCTGCTGTCAACAGCTTCTCCTCAACTGCTTTGTCTTTTCCCCATGTGGTCTACCTTGGCAAAGATAACATATGTGGCTGCACACAGGCACACAGGAAACTGCTACAGAACACCACCATTCCAGAAGATATAAAAAAACCCCAAAAAATCCAGCTATCTTTTCAAAAAGGGTCCTTCCTTCCATATGCTACTAGATCTTCATATCTTGTGTACAGCAGAGATTGGAGAGGGCAGGCTTTTGACTCCATCATGTTAAATCCTACGCACGTGCTCAGTGACTCTAGAGAGAAGACCAGTTTCAAGTCATGAGCACACAACACCTGTGCATTCATGTACACATGTAAGATAATGCATAAGCTTTTCAAAAGCCTTCAAAGCTGTCAAGTTTTATGGGGGTGCCATAAACAGGATTGTGGGAACAAAGGACACTAGTGATATATAGCGGAAGTCTGTGCTAAATGGCTATAAAATGAAAAATCAAAAATCCAGCCAGGGAGAAAGACTGTAACTGTGGATACAGTACCTTTACACAACTGGCTATGGAAACCCCAATCAATCCAAAATGTTTAAATACTCTTCAAGATGTATTTTGTTTGTTTGAAGAGTTTTTTTTTGTGACACACACAATAAATAAAGGGAGTGTTTAGGACTGTATGTCTGATTAGCAGTGCCATATGGAAATAAAAACAGCATTCTGGAAGATCTTGGTTCAACCCAAGGAGACATCATGCACATACTATTTTCACTTAGGGGGAAAAAGAACCCAAAATGTTAATCACTATTCTACCTCAGCCTATAGTGATTAGAACTGCCCATGGTCATTCTGAAATCACAGATTCACTAGGCTGAAAGAGACCGTCAAGACCACTGAGATCATCGAGTCCAACCCATGCCCTATACCTCAACTAGACCATGGCCACATGGGTGCCACATCCAGTCTTTTTTTAAACACATCCTGGGATGGTAACTCCACCACCTCCCCAGGCAGGCCCTTCCAGTACTTTACCACTCTTTTCGTAAAGAACCTTTTCCTAATATCCAACCTATATTTCCCTTTCGGCCTCTCTAATTTTTTTCCTACATGCCCTAGCAACCCCCTTGAATACTTCCTGAGGGACCTGACCCTCCTTCCAAAGATGATACATCCTTTTTATTCCTAAGTTCCTTCAAAACCTCCTTGCCCATCCAGGCTGGGCGTTTACCTCATCAACACATCTTACAGCACACAGGAACAGTGTCTTCCTGTGCCCTCAGTATCTCTCTTTTGAAGCACACCCACCTTTCCTGGACTCCTTTGCTTTTAAAGGCTGCTTCCCAAGGAACTCTCTAAGTCTCCTGAATGAGGGCCAAAGTATGCCCTCAGAAGTCTAATGTAAAAGTTTTATTGATGTTCCTCCTCATTTCACCAAATATCGAGAACTCATAATTTCATGATCACTCTGCCCCAAGTGGACTCCAATCACTACATTTCCCACCTCTATTTGAAAACAGCAGCTCTAAAATAGCCCCTCCCCTGGTGGGCTCACTCACCAGCTGTGACAAAAGTTGTCCTCCACACACTCTAAGAACTTCCTGGACTGTCGCTGTTGTGCTGTATTAAGTTCCCAGCAGATGTCTGGTAGGTTAAAGTCACCTACAAGAACAAGGGCTGATAATCCTGAAACATTCTCTTACCTGCTTATAGAATAAGCTGTCCACCTCTTCATCCTGGTTGGGTATATGATATCAGACTCCCAGTAGGATATCAGCCTTGTTTGCCTTCTTAATTCTTACCCACAGGTATTCAGCTTCATTGTCAGCTTCATTAGTTTCAATAACCATGGCATCAAAAGCCTCCCTAATATAAAGGGCCACCCCTCCACCTCTTCTCCCTTTCTTCTGAAGAGCTTGAGCCATCCAGTGCAGTGCTCCAGCTATGTGAGTCATCCCACCACATTTCCATGTTGCAATTTATATTCATTCAGAACTACACTCAATTTAACACAGCTTTTGTTTATATAATGGGATACAAAGCTCCCCCTACTCCAAGATGATGAGAACAGCCAGCCTGAAAACCAGCATTTAATGCCTGAAGGAAGAGCATGGCAAGATTTGTGAGGCAGTGTTCAAGAACGGCCTTCTTATAAAGTGAAGATTTTGTAATGGGTTTCCAAAAGACATGCTATAAATGCTTTATTTGACTTTTTTATTTGCTTATGCTGAACAAAAAAGAAGAGTTTCAGGCAAAAGTATTCTGACACACTGGAGATTAGACACCATTCCTTTAAGGGGTTACACTTCTTCCTGTTTCTACAACCCAAGGAGAAATGAATTGATAACATATGGATGTGAAACTCCTCCCCCAAAGCCAACGGATCATTTGACTTGAGGCATGATCATGTTTTTGTAGAGATGCTCGAAGATACTGCTATGATCAACATTCACCACACTCGTACAGAAATGTAGAATTAATGAGTCCCAGCTTTTATTCACCTGAGTTTCCTGACTCTTCCTCCTTGTCTTGCTGCTTCTTCCTTCTCTACCTTCCTTTCTTGATCCCCAAACAAGGACCACTGTCCCCTAATTAATTCTTCTTGCCACGGTTAGCTGTGTAAAGAGGAGCACAGCAGGTAGGCCTGTCTGCCTCAAACTGCATCTTTTCAGAATCACTTACATCCTCAGTCCTGGAATGACATCACAGAGAATTGCACCAGGTACGATTATTAGTTTGGATGCTGTGCTGCTCTTCACTCACCCTGCTCCTCAGCAGTTAATGACTGCAAGCGAGGTGTTTAGATAAAATGGTCTGCAAATTACCCAAGGGATAATTAAAAGGAAAAAATTAGCACATATTACATTTCTAAAGGCAGAATGAGAAATAACAAAATGAAACAAAACAAAAAGCAATACCAAAACAGAATCAGGAGGGCAGGTGATCAGTCAGCTGTTCATGCACAGAGAACAGTTGACAAAAATACATGTGGGAATGGCAGTAATGTTTGCTTCCCACAGTATAAATCAACAGGGCTTTAAAACAAACAGAAAACTCCCCGAGATTGTCTGCTGGTTTGGGTACAGGCACACACACACACACACACGCACACACACTGCTTTTACCAGGAAAACAATCCAGGTAACTAAATTCTACATCTGGACATTACAAGTTTTCAGACACAAATTTGTTCAGTTTTACAAATGTCAAACAGTGTGCATGTCTTTGAAAAATATAAATGGAAGGACAGCATACTTGATTAGCAGGTTGTTGTCTATCTCACAGAATCCATGTGTATAATACTAAGGCACACTATTTTAAGACAAATTAATCCATTATTATAGACACTAACAAGATTTTTATGTATTCTGTACACTCTCAAAAACGTAATTTATTTCTTCAAGATAGTAAAGCTGGCTGCAGCGCATCTTTAGTAATTGTCAATTGCCTTCAATATTTCTGTAATATGTGGTTGTCCAGGCTAATCAGTTAGTGTGACCCTATGTGTTTTCTTACCAATATAAATAATTCCATTGTAACTAAATCAACAGTTTTTAATAAGCTGTTTTTCCACTTTAGGCCTGAAGAGTGAGGAGGTTATGGACTTCTAGCATTTAATGAAAGAGAAAGCAGATGAAATAAAATGCCCTGCAGAATGCAGAAGACTTGACTTACCAGATCCAATATCACCCTTGCTGTAAGGGTCATTTGCTCAGAAGTGCCTGTTACATACACCATCAAAACCTTAATACTAAAAAATCTAATATCCAGCAGTAAAAGCATGTCTACATAGACATCTTGAACTAAGTAACAAAAAAAAAGGTAACTGTTTTCGTGTTCTTATCCTTACATTCAGTTAAAGAAGAAAAAGGGCCTTTATTTCATGAAAATTGTTTAGTGCCTTAAAAAACCCCCGCATATAAAACTGAAGCAGACAACGTGACTGATTTTTGGCTGCAGAGAGGTCAGAGTTGGCCCCATCTGTATGCAGCCTTTAAATTATTTATTTATAGCAATCCTTAATAATTGATTTATGTACAATCAAAGCTACAGCTGCTACTCAGACCAGTTGGATTCAAGTAAGTATTTTAACCATAAGGGCATAAAAAGTCTTAGATTGCTGCTTTAAGACTATGGTTTATTCCCCAGGTCAGACTGGATCATTTAATCAGATACCTTCACCTATACTGCTGTTGCTTGACATTCCAAAAGCAAACCATGCACCAGCTCCATGAACACACCTCTCTGTAATTAATTCCAAATATTGCTGCTGTGTTCAAACACAATTTGCATGGCAGTGATTTAAAGCAAAAATGAAACAGGAGAAGAGGACACAACCTCAAGTTGCACCTCAAGTTCTTCCTTGCAAGAGCGATTAGATTTTGGAATGAGTTGCCCAGCCCAGGGAGGTGGTGGAGTCAGCGTCCCTGGAAGTGTTAAGCAATGACTGGGTGTGGCTCCCAGTGCCATGGTCTGGTTGATAGGGTGGTGTTGTGTCACAGGCTGTACTCCATGACCTCGGAAGTCTTTTCCAACCTGATTTCGTTACCCTTTCCCTTCCACTTTTGGGTGTTTTTACTATTTAACCTCGATGCTGCCTGGAGTCCCCATTGTGTGGCCCAAGCCTGAAACCCTGGCGCTTGCTCCTGTGCCCAGGCGGATGTCCTCGGCAGGAGCAAACTCAGGCAAACGCTGCCGTACCGCTGAGCGCTGCACTCCGCGCGGCCCCCTGCGCCTCCACACGCACAACCGCGACCCCTACGGGCCTGGGCAGGGCGAGGGGAGGGCACGGGAAGAGAGGACGGCACGGGAAGTGCGAGGAGAGGCCACAGAGGAGGGCGCGGGAAGTGCGAGGGGAGGGCCCGGGAAGAGAGGAGGGCCCGGGCACGGCGGAGGGCGCGGGCGCTGTCGCGCTGTGCGAGCGTCACGAGCAGGGGCGGCGGCGGCGGCGGCGCGGCCGCGCTGCGGGAAGGGCGGGCGGGGTAAAAGGAGCCGGAGCCCCGCGCTCTCGGGTACGTGGGTGGCGGGAGGGACTGCAGGGGCCTCGGCCAGGCCGGCTGGCCTGGTCTGGGGCGGGGCATCGCATCGCCCCCGGGCTGGGGAGAGCCGAGGAAGCCGTCCGTCCATTGTGGGCGGGAGGGGAGAGGCGAGCGGGAGAGCCCATTCCCGAGTGTGCGGGGGGAAGTGGGCAGCGGCGAGAGTGGGTCAGGCCATCCCTGGCTCTTGGAGAAACCCGTCCCGACCGCTCTCACTGCGCTTAATTAATGCTGTCAATGAGTTATTAATTCACCGCAGCGCTGCTGCTGAGGGACCCACAGGTCCAGAGCGTAGCGATGACACGGTCTCCTGTGGAAGTGTGACTGACTTGTGCTCCACGTTTCCTGCAGGATTCAGCGTTCCTGTCCCTCGCCTCCGCCTGGCTGAGCCAGAGCTCTTCGCCACTGCACTTTACAGCCTGGCACCTTGATGGAAACAGATGTTGGTGGTGGTCCGAGGTGACGTATGACCGAGGAGCAGCAGGCCTCCTTTTTTGTTTTGCCACACTGCAGCTGACTTTGGCTGGCCTTGTATGAGGGATTTAAATAGCCTCTCCTCTAACAATCAGTTTTTCTTGAGTTAGAGCCTAAATCGTGATTTTCCAAGGCTTCAGCTTTTAAGGACTGCAAAGGTTTGATGTAATTCTTAAGTGTAGTCTGCCATGCCTTGTCAGAAGATGTTCGGTTGGGAAAATAGGTGTATGACTACAATTATGTATATTATTTTTAGTAAAATAGAAATGATAAGAAATTACTACTACTTCTACTAATAGAAATTACTAGAATCTGAAAAAAAGGATTGATCACAACCTTTGGTATTTCAAGCCTAAAGTTTCAGCTAGAACAATATATACTGTAGAATACATTTTAAGCAGCACACATGGTGAGTTCAGCTTGGGCTTTCTAACAGTTGCCATATTTATGAAGTCTCTAACAGATTGAATTCCAAGCTCTTTTCTTAAAGGACTATGTTCATCTTATATTGTGCCTGTTTTGCAGATATTTGTGGGGGTTAAAATATTTGAACTCCAGCTGAATAAAACAAGGGCTGAAAATTGAAGGATGGCAGCAAATCCTTCAGGACAAGGTAGGTTTTAGTTTAAGTATTCAAGGAAAAAGTGAATTCAAAATATCAGTGAAGTCACCGTAACTGTAAGTTTATTTTTATGGAAAGGTGAAGAAAGGAAAGAGAGTTGGGGCTGAAAGCAGCAGAATGGCAACAGTTCTTCTGGGATGAGGTACACACATATTTAATGGTTAAAAAAGACCACTGATGGCTGGGAAGCTCTTCGTTATTGAGCATAATGTTGTGCTCAGGGTTAGGAAGTAGGTATCATGCCTGTGATACAGTGATCATTTCCTGAAGCTTATTTCAGGCACTTAAAACACTTGGCCTTTAGCATGACTTGCAGCTATTGCACTCAACATCAGAGAACAGCCAGAAATCAAATATGTTCCGTGTCATGTTGGGAACAGCAAGACCCAGGCAGTAATATCTGTCACAGGCAATTGGCCAGGCCTAGGAGAAAAAGCCAGTTAAAACCGTAATGGTAACTGCGATGAAATGTTCCTTTTTACCAGGATGCATCCCCATTGTATCCTTAGAATAATAAAAATCTTAGTAATGGTCCATCTGTCCAGGTAATGCGTGTGCTTTAGAGGAGGCTGAGGGTCTGGAGGTGTCACCCAGTAAATTTGAAGGAGGATCTTAAATCGCCCTCTAGAGGTGTTTTCTGGAAACCTTAGGGGAACTCTGAGGCTTTTCTTGTATGGAGGAGCTGAGGAAAAAGCTTCTCAGGTATGGCTCCTCCTTACTTGGTGATGAGAAATGAATTCTGGGTTCAATTTCCCAGCAAGCAGAGACTTTTTGCAGGTCTGTCTTTGTGTCCTTACCACAAGCAGTCCTGCAAACCTGGTTTTGCTGGAATATACTTCAGGGGATATCATATGACTCGTGTGGGTCCAAACCACAGATTTTATTTGCTACTTGATGAAAAGGAGGTAGTTTCAGGAGTGCTTTTTGAAATTTTGTGTGGTGTTGACAGAGAAGTACTGCAGATTGCAGAGCTGTCTGTTTGGAAATTTTAACTCTGAGTAAGTTTTTGGTACATAATGGTAAATCTTGCTTTTATTCTGTGAATACCAAAATCGGCATCATTGCAAGGAATAGAATGTTGTCATAGAGAGTTAAAAGCTGCTTTTTCTTAAATACGTTGGTTTACTGAGAGATCAGATTTTAGTGCCAGAATACCTTTGCTTCTCTCCCGATTCCAGAGTCTTATAATTTAATAGAGCCTTTTATATTTGAGATATCCTTTACAGACTCATTAAAGGAACCATGCCATTATTATTTGAAAATCGTTTGGATTGAGGAGACAAGAAACACTATCTAAAGTTTAATTACCAAATAAGCCTATATGTAGTCCAACTAGGAAAATTAGAAAGGAGCAGGTAAATATAAACAACAGTTCAGAGTTTCTGTCTTTGCTAGATGCAGTCTGGTAGTGAAAAGGACTGTGGAAAACACTGCATTTTTAGCTTGCCTCTTGGCATATGTATTAGTATTGTTCAAATTAATCTATTCTTTTCACTTGGACAAAAAGAATACAAGTTTACTGAAATGCTCACCTGAAGGGTCATGAATGGTAGCACTTACTCAGGCAGAGCTGTAAGGATGAATTAAGCATTAGCCTTCTACACCCCAGGCAGACTGTGATCGTAACTTTTTGTACCGAATTACTGCTTTTCCTTTGATTTGTATCAGGTATTTTCTTAAGAGTAAATTTGAGTTTTCCATTGATAACAGACTTGGACTATAAAAGTTAAGATTTTTTGGACTAGACTTTTATTCGCTGGCCTCTTAGAAAAGCACTCTTGGTGGTGAGCTGCGTGCGAGTGCAGAAAAACCAAGAAGAATTGAATGAAAAGCCTTATTTCAGTTCATTAGTACCACAGGGAACTGATGGCATTTGCAAGCATTGGAAGATCTTGCTGTATGCTGTGTGTTGTCCACCACATGCACTCACTGACCAGAGTGATACACTTTGAGGGGTGGAAATCAGCTTCTGAATTACAGCAAATACTTCCAGGTGCTCAGAGATACGCTGCTCCTACTGCAGTACTTCACAGTACTTAGGCAACATGCCATTCATCAGGCTGCTCTTGTGAAATTCCTTTGCTTGTGTGCAGCAAGGCCAGAGCCTTGCTGTGTGTAACTGAATTGGCCACTCTGTGTGTGAGCCCTCCTAGAGGAAGCCATCTGACATGAGAGTGATGTTACTGCTCAGGACAGAATTCTCATTTTGGTCCTCAGACGTGGAAAAAGTACAGATCCTGCTTCAGACAGGGCTGAATGTTTCTGAAATTAAGAGTTCTGGTGTGTTGGAAGAAGAAGCTCTTGAAATATGAACAGAATTCTAAGTTTCAGGCTGCAGCAATTCTGAAGTCTCTTTATGTCATAAAAGTTTTTTATGCTTTTCCCTAAAGGTATGTGGGGACATTGACAGAGCACAGTCTAAGCAGCTAGATTTGGCTCTCTGTTCACAGAGTCTGAAAAGGAAGATTGTGCTGTTCTGTGTTCAGTTATGTCATCATCCACGCATTTTGCTCTTCCCCATCTGAGTCTGATCTGTGTGTAAGCATAGTACTTGAGAACTTTGCAGCCATACAGCTATCAGTTACTTATATTCAGCTATGTATGTAGCTCTTTTCTGGAGGCACAGACAAAATACTCATGTATTTTTAAGTAATTCAACTTAATTTACTGAATAACCAGTACACCTTCTGTTTCATTGTCACACAAAGTATATGAAAGCATATCCAGATGTAAATTGTTACTGAGAGTATTTGGCATGCAGCAGACTTTCAGATGATGTTTTGAGATGCCAGTCATCATAAGCAGAAGAGGCCATCAGAATAGAATTACTCCATTTCTTTTGCAAGTGGTGTGTGTTTAATATGGTCTTTAGAGTCTGCTTTTTAAGAGGATGCTGCCTCACTTCATGAATGCTGCCATTTATAGAAACATGCACTTCAGTAAAGAAATTGCTTTGAGTCCTTTCTGAATTGAGCAGGCAGGACAAAATGCAGTGCTTTTCAATGTTCAGAGGTTGGAGCTGGCATACACTTAGAAAATGTTTTCAAAGCTATATCTTGAACACAAAGTAACAGAGGGCTTTTTAGTGCTGTTACACATCTACGGATAAAAGATGCATCTTGGAAAAAAACTTAAATGTGCTGTGAATCTGAAGAAACAAGGAAAGATCAAGGAAACAGATCATGGAGAAAAGATAATCAATGAAAAGCAAAAAATTAAAACAGATAAAGCTAATCCTGTTGCTTGCCCTGCAGAGCTAACTGACATAGGTAAGGGTTAGGGTGGTAGATAAAATGTTGAGATTAGGTTAAAGAGAGAGGCCTTCTGTGAGCTCTTAAAGCTGCCAGTATCACTCAGCAAGGTTTCAGCTTTCTCTGGCTTTCTGCCTTTCATGTGCAGAAAATAGGTGCAAGTAATCTTTCTAGTCCTGCACAAATACAATGCTTGATGTCAGAAACAGAGGTGTCAGAAAGGTTTAAATTTTAAATGTCCTGAATTTGCTACATTAGAGAGTAATCTGAGGATCTAAGTGCTCAGTTTGACATCTGACACTGCCATGATCTAGTTAACTGCCTTGAGTAGATCATTTTGTGTCAGGACTCATGTTAGCAAAGCAGAGAAAAATATTACTGTTCACGCTCAAAATATTAATGCAATTCAACCCAGTGAAGGGAACCTCTGTTAGGAAGTTCCTGTGTTTGAAAATCTGCACTGGTTTTCACAGATGGGAATCTGGTCTGTACTGGGGACGGGTTTTGATTTTTGCATGTCCACATTTCTAGTAGTAGAAAGCAGAACAGACTAATCTGCAGATGAAATATTACTGTTATTTATGATTGAAGTGGGAAACTTCTGTAGGAGTTTTAAATTGGTCTTTATTTTGGGTTCCTCATCAGAGAAGAATCTAAATGAAAGTCTTGTTTATTTATTGCCGGATATGGCTAATTACTTTCTAAGGATGCCAGAATTTCTCTGTAAAATGGATTTCTCATGTTCCACCTCCTTCATTGTTAACCTTTAAATGAGCAGGCTTTGCTTTGCACATTGAAGAAGTTTACCTGCAGGAAGATCACGTTGCTCAGCTGAGGAGTACTAACATGTATATGTTGAATATGCTTCTCCACTTTCTTAAACAGGCTTTTTTTCTCCTTACCAGTAACAAATTCCCTTAGACAAATTACTTTTTCAGCACAGCAGATTGGTGATGGTTACTCTCTGAACTCTAGTGCAAAATACTACTTTAAAAAACCCAACCAACAAACAATCAAACAAAAAACACACCACAAAGCTGTTATTAGAGGTATGAGGAAAGAAAAGATACTCGAGTTTCTTCTGACTACCTCTAGAGTTTCTTCTGCAAGATACTGTAACAAGACTCAAAATAGAAGACAGTCCTGTACTGTTTCTGATCACAGTTTAAAAACAGCATTTAAAATGTCTCAGGCTTTTCTGAATCATACCATCTGTTTCGTGATAAATTTAAGCATATTTAATCTTCATTTTTTTTTAGATCACAAACTTACATTAAAAAGTAGTCTCCTTTTTCTTTCCTTAATCATCATATCTTGTGAATTCCAAGCATGCATTTAAATCTATGCAGTTTATGATAAGCAGGCAGTATCAGTAGGGTGCAGAGTAATAGGTAAAGTATAAAGGTTTTTGGATTAAAATTGTGTAGATTTAGCATACAAACATATGGTTGTTTTAGGTCAGGCCCTCTAAGAGGTGATTCAATCATCATATCCACGCGTTGTTTCCAAAATTTACAAGAAAGTAAAGTCTGGGCTAGCTGCAGCTCAGAGATAATTAAATCCTGGCTTGTTGGCAAGATTTGTCAGGCTTTGTATGTCAGCTCAGTTTTAAGGTTTCAGATTCATTGCAAGCCCAAAGTCTTAAAAAAAAAAAAAGTGATAGTGTACAATATCTGAAGAGCAGAGAAATATCAAAGGCCTGAATCAGTACTCTTTTCAAACAGAGTTTAAGTGGAGCTAATGCTACACAGGAAGGAGAGATTAGCGGGCAGAAAAATTCCAGTTAATTAAATGTAACTGAAAATCTTGTTAACAAATATTGAAATTATTGTGGGTGATCGTACATCCAATACAATATACAATATTGTATACAAATCCAGTACAATATAATCAAAAGACTGTGCTCCTTTCGAGAACTCTTGAGACACTGAAGTTTATGGTGTGTGTATATTAGGCATGGTAGAAGAAAAAAGTGAGAGTTTGATAGCAAGGCAGTACAGATGTTATTTAGAATTGAAAGTTTCTCTCTGGTGATTGTTTCCTTCATTAAGCCATGCAGATGAAAGAAATTCTGGATTATGTAATTGAGCATCAGCACAAGGTCTGTCAAAGAGGATGAACTTGGAGTGCAGCTTCTGAAAATAATAATTTTACCTTGACATGCTTAAGAGTTACCGTGTGTGGCCTTCCTCACAGCTTGTGGGCTACCATGTTTTAGTGCTGTCACTAAGACAGTTTGCAAGGCAGGGGCACAGCACACAGCGACTTCCAGGGGAATCTTGGACTTTTTGTGTGGAAGAAATAAAGGAGAGCTTGACTTTTACTTTTTTTTTTTTTTTTTTTTTTTTTTTTTTCTTTTTTTTTTTTTTTTTTTTTTTTTTTTTCCTTCTTCTTTTTTTGTTTATGATGTTGTCATTGCTTGTTATTTATAGAACAGCAGCAAATAAGAGATTGAAGAAGTGTGCATTTCTGACATGAGGAGTGTCCTTGGTGGCATAGAGGCATGTAAGAGTCAGCTCTGGAGCTTTTGTCCTCAACTGTGCTCTTTGGGCATACTGGGCAACAGCAGGGGCCTGTGCCTCTGGTTTGTTTGAGGGCTGCAGTGAGATCCTTTATCATATGAGTCCTGTGTAGGTGCAGGAGGTTTGCCATGTTTGCATTTAGAAGGCAACTTTAAAAATAGGTGGCAACTATTTTGGGCATTTTTGAAATTCTCTCAAGTCACCCTACTTCCTGACCCCTTCTTTAGTATTCAAGGTTGCTTTGGAAGAATGATGAAAGCAAATGGAGGCCACATTCTTTTATTGTGTACAGACAGTTTAATAGTTTAAATTTGCTTCTCTATTCCAGCATTTGATCATACTTGGAATAAGGGTAGTGTGTATAGGACACATTATATTTAAACTTTTCTTCATAGATTGAATGGAACATGTTTGTATAAACACATGTGCAAGCTTAGTGATTTGCTCATTCTTATCTGTTATATATATAAAATGCTTGTGTTACAGTTTGAGTTCACTGACATGAGAAACTAAGCCCCATGCATATATTGCTCCATTGTTATTGTTGAGTTGAACATTCAGTGACTACTTTTTAAATTTAGAACCTGGTAAGTTTACTTCTTTTTTTTTGGAAGGCAGCTGTCTGAGCATAAACCTTGATTGTAGTTCCAGAGCTGGCTTGGGAAGGGATAGGCTCTAACTTGAGTTAACAGCCTCTGTTTAAAATGTAATAATATGCATGATAGCTTATGGAAGCTATTGCATGCTGGAAAATGAAGTCTGTTTAATAATAGTCTTTTCAAGTGAAGATCAGTCTATTCATCTTAGAGTAATTTTCTACTGGAATTTCTAATTCCACAGGGTTAGAGTTGGGCCACAGAAGTCAAATAAATATCTCTAATATTTTTCTGTCATTCTCACCAGGTTTCCAGAATAAAAATAGGGTTGCAATCCTGGCAGAACTAGACAAGGAGAAGAGAAAGTTACTTATGCAAAACCAGTCTTCCACAAATCACCCTGGAGCCAGGTATTTTATGTTCTTAGACCTGTTGGGACATCACTGATTGCATCAAGGAAAAAAAAAAAAGCCGAACAGCTAGTGAGCTGTAAATGTATATAAATACTTAACAGAAGTGTTTTCTGACCATCTTTAATGCCAAGGCAGAGAGACATTGCTCTTTAGAAACATATTAGTATTTAAAGTGGTTCACATAGCATGAATTTTGGCTTCTATCATTTCCATTTGAGAATGAGAGAAGCATATGTGCTTACTCAAGTGTATTAAATTCTACCATAAAGAAAAATCAGGAAGCAGACACTGAGAAAACCTTTCATTATTAAGCTGAAATGCTCTGGGGAATGGAAGTAGCAGACCATTAGGTTCAGGATTCTGTGTGCTTAGAGAAGAGCAATTACAGCAGGAGTGAGTTATTCTTGAACTCCCTATGTGCAAGACAAACAGTGTATGTTATAGCAGATAATCCTGTAAAAGATGCTGTGTTGTAGGGATGATTCTGCACCATAAAGTGTAATAGTCTAATCTGAGTTGAAGGGTGTTTCTGGATGTCTCCCATACAAGACAAGAAGATTAGAGTTTTGTCATAAATCAGTAACTAGAAAATCACACAATAATTTATATGGAGAAATTAACATCCTTAAACTTTGGGGTTAAGTGAGTGCAGTGCCACGTTCTAGACACCGTGTAACACGCAACACCTGTACGAGAGACAAATACTCTGACTACAGTCTGAGTGCTGCCCCTGTCTTTTCTTCTGAGAGATTCCACGGCACTTTCAATTCCTTCATAATGTCAAAAAATATGCAGAATACTTGAAATTTCCTGATGTAGACTTCTGAGTGAGGTAAGAAGTTACTATTAATAACTTTATGTGGTTATTACTGAGCAAAATTATTGGAAAGAAAATCAGAATATCATACTGTTACATACAGCTCCTGGCAACAGTGTTTCAGTGCTTCATTGTAAGTCTGACAGAGCTTCAGGTAGTGCTTGTTTACTCTCTTTTTTTCTTTAAGGAAATACAACACTGTATTCTAGTGAGCAGAATTAGAATTTTCTAGTTTTGAAGGTGGACATGGGTGGAACGTACAATGCAGCAGTCAGACTCTCTGCTTTGGTGTGATTTTTTTGGTGTGATTTTTCTGATGTGTGACTTTTGAGAACCTGACAGTTTTTTGATGTTGTGCCAAAGGTCTTGGACCACAGAATTGTCAGAATTGAGACCATAAAATTGTGCAAACTTGACCAGAAGACCTTGATGTACCTAAAGCACAGCAGGGACAGCATAAGGGTGAATGGGTTAATTGATTTCTGGACTTGGCACATGAAAATCCTGGATCCAAGAACAGGAGACCTCTTTTGAAAAATGTCAGCTTATGGTGGAGCCTTAAGCTTATGTACAGAAATCATATTGAAAAGTTAGAGAGTACAGATTACAAATTGCAAATTAAATACCCCCAAAATCACTGAAAATACTGTGTTTTAAATAAACTGAGTAGTACTCTTCTCCAGCAGTGAAACTTATCTTAATACTTGCCATAAGCAAAATTTTTTCTGAATTGTTTAGCTTTTCTTATGCATTTAGGCATAGATTTGGCTGTGCATCTTTTCATGAGCATGGTTGCTTCTCAGAAACTGAGTTACTAAATCAGCAGTTGACATTGAAACTGCTGGTAAAATTCAGTTGATGAATTTGCTTGGAATCCTTGCATTTGTACTTCTTTCTCTGTTATTGGTAAGAGCAGGATTTTCAGCAGCAGTCTCCAGTGACAGTTTCAGAGGTAGGTGAGAATTGTCTTGTGATTCAGTTCTAATGGCAACCATCACCTGATTTCCATGTATCTTTATATATAGAGTTGGTGGTGCTTTTTGTCTTCTTTTTGGTTTAATAAGGCAGACAAGTCCTAAGGTATAAAAGACAAGAAAAAACATCAGTAAATTTTAATTTGAAGCCTTATGCTGCAGTGAGATACGCTAAATCAGTTTTAGGTACTCCAGGCTGTTACCAAAGGATCATTATTTCAGTTAACATCAGTAGGAAGCTCCTGTATCATAGGTAGTGAGCTGCTTCCCCACCACCGAAGACCTGTTGTTGTACTGAAGTCTGCAGAGCTCTTGTTAGTGCTCCTGTTTGTCACAGTTGTTTAGAACAGTCACTCAGTGACTGAGTAGTGGTGAAAGCACAAAGCTGCTGTAGAAGTTCCTTGCATTGTCTAACACTGCACCCCAGTGGTTTCATTGACTTCAGTGGGACTCTACCCATGGGCAAAATCCGCAATAGGCTTCAGGTTTAGTTTGGCAGGAATTGTTTATGATGGCTCAAATTGTACAGCTGTGGTCACTCCATCTACTCTTTTTTTTTTCTCTTATATTTACAGATAGTAATTCCAAATAGTAACTGACAATTGTCAAGCTGTGAGTGAAATGAGAGCTCAGGAAGTCATCGTATCCATGGCTAGAATGGCAAGAAAACATGTTTTGGCTGTGGTCTGTGTCATACCATCTTGTTCTTTCTTGCAGCATTGCACTTGCAAGATCACCTCTGAATAAGGATTTCCGTGATCATGCTGAGCAACAGCACATTGCAGCACAGCAGAAGGCTGCACTGCAGGTGAGCTGATAAAGAGTTCAGTTTGGCTCTGTTTTAGATGTGCATCCCTTCAGAGAGCAGCCCTGCTCCTAGAGATATTGAAAAGCCCCTTTTAGAGATTAGGTATCTCTCATTTCTGTATTTGTCAAAGTGAAGTCTCATTTGTTATGATGAAGCATGTCCTTTGGTGTGGAGAGCTCCAGCCAGCCCCACAGCCATGTCGTTGTGTCTCTGTTGAACTCCCCCCAGTTTGTGTCTCAGACTGAGCTCAGATGGCTCCCCTTGGCCTGCTGGCCATGCTGTTGCTGGTGCAGTTCACTCTGCCAGTTATCCTTGATCACTCCAAGGTCACACTTAAAAGCTCAGGCTGAATTTGAGATCCAGGAGGGCTCTTCCCTAGTGGTGGAGGGGGGGAATGTGCAGAACATCTAACTTGCTGGCCTTTGAACCGGGAAGGGGTATGTAGGATTTCAGAAAGGTGTTCCAGAGCCATACAACAGCTGCCTCCCTCAGGTGAGCAATGAGTATCACATCACATGAGCAGAATCCTGGTGTCCCGTGTTTGGGATGGTGTCTGGTGGCACTCTGTGTAGCAGCTGTCATAAACCAAGAATTGCAAGCTGGTTATGGAAGGGAGTGGAAGTGGCAACATGGGGTCTAGGCAAAGAAAAGCAATCAGTTGATTTGCACCACCTCCATGGGGTTGGCTGAAAAGAGCAGAAGAGAATGTCCAAATTAATTGCTTTGATGGGCCCTATTCTGATGTAGCTGATCTAAAATGCTGGGTTTGAATTTGACTATCAGAATTAAGGAGCAAACCGGGAGAAATAAATAATTAATGCTGCAGAAGCCATGAAGTTTTAAATCATGTCAGTGCTGCAGGGAGAGATGCTTTAACAAATGCTTTTCTCTTTCCAGCACGCACATGCACACTCCTCAGGATACTTCATAACTCAAGACTCTGCATTTGGAAATCTTATTCTTCCTGTCTTACCTCGACTTGAGGCAGAATGAGGAATGTTGTTTGCCTCAGAAATTCAAGATCGATTTTTGTCCATAGCAAGAGCTGTTTGACCTTTTAATTTCTTTATGTATCTTAAGACCTACTTTTTTTCTGGGTTCTTGGAGATGCCATTCAGGAGTGTGAGCTCTAGTGATGGGGAAATAGTGTTGAAAATTTTTTATCCTGTATTTCTGTTCCTCTGTTGGGTCAAAGTCAAATGCAAGACTTTTCTTGGAGTTTGAAGTGCACAGGGTTTGCTATTCCCTGTTTCAGTGCTTCCTTTAAATAAATGTCCAAACCAGAGTTACCAAAAGATGCACAATCTGACAGCATTTGTGTTTCTTTTTATTATGTACAGGTATGATTTTTGTAATGAATAATGCAAATTATTTCTGTCCATCAAAACAGACACGAATTTGTCAAATGCATCAGCCAGTCTTCCTCTCCCACCCTCTCCTATGCAGAAACATTTCTACTGTACTGTTTTTACCATTGTAGCATCATCTGGTCTTAAGTCCTTAGTTACAGTGTGCCTGCCTCTTACCTTGCTTTGTGAAATGTGAAAATGAATTAAAGTGGGAAAAAAGTAAATGTTTCTGACAGTCTTTTTTATGGACAAAATATCAAAACTTCTCTGGACATCTCAGATGGAAAGTGTTGTCTGCAAAGACAATTCCATTTAAAAGGTCATTTTTCTAGTTATGCATTTTTCAAGACTCAGTGTGTTTTATTTTTGTTCACTTTTTTCCTTGGTGTTTTTATCTGTGGTAAACAATTCCAGCTTCCTGCTGGAAGAAAATCTATTGATATTAAGGTAAATTGTTTTGGGACTGTGATTGTGCTACCAGGATAAAGTATCTTAGAGTGAAAAATAGTCCTTACTTAGACTTTCTTATATCTCCACAGCTTTGCTTATGCAGTTATGCTATGACACTGATTGCAGTGCCTATGGAGGCAAGTTTTAGAAAACAGAAAAGAACAGGAAAACTTATGTGAGAATGATAAATCAGAAAGCATCTGTTAAACTGGTGCCCATTTGAAACAGCTCTGTCCTTTGCAGAAACTCAGCTGTCCCTAAGTTTCCAGGGTTGTAGTTGGCATTTCCTTAAGGACATCTGGGGTATTCTGTTTCTATATGCAGGGGATTGCCTGAACCCAATAAGCACTACTGAACTATCTATTCATATTTTACTGTTAATATTAATGTAGTAATCATGAATACAGAACAATTACCAAGAGATGGGTGCAGGTATAAGGAAAATGCCACTGCTTTCATATACCTCAGCTGAAAATAGACCTTTGTAGAAACCGGAGCATACTGAAACATTTTCAGAAAGGAGAATCTTCTGGACCCAGCCTGGTAGAGCTTAAAGATGTGCAATTTTAACAACTATTCATACCATATGCTTTTTTTTTCTGGGTTCTGATGTGATGAGTCATGGGAATGATGATGGTTTTTGTGGGCACTGGGAAAGAAGTCACTTCTATTTTCTGTGGTTGGCTCTGTGTAACTTTTTAATTACCAATTATGAAATTACCATATGAAATTGTCCTGTCTATTTGTTATTCTGCAGTGTGAGCTGCACATCTTATTAGATGCTTTGAAGAAAAAGATGTGCAAATCTCAGTGTAAAAGAGACAGCTATGGATCTGTCCAACCTGGAAACATACAGAGGCAAAGATGTTAAAGCAGATGCAGCAGAAAGCATGGATTTTATATTTGAGTTGAATGAACATTAAAGGAGCTCTGTGCCACATATTTGAACTATAGAATCTTTCAGTATCATCATACAGACTGCAAATGATCCAGGCAGTGCAACAGTAATCATCTTTCTCCCTTGGTAAGTTATGGTTGCTCCACTGAAGGAGTTAACACTTGTTGGCTGGGTTATTTTCACCTTGGGTATTGAAAGACCTGCTTTTGTAATTTCAGGGCCTGAGCTCAAGAATGAGGAATGGCAGGTGGGGGAATGAATGCAGCTGTTGTGATATTTTAAAGTTATAATGTCTCAAATTATTCTTTGCAATTGTGAGGGTCTTGGTGATATATGTAGATAGGATTAACTGTCAAATACACAAATTACATATATGGAAGCGCCTATCTTAAAATGACAGACTCAAGCAATTACTGTCAGATGGATCAGTTTTTCTTGCCACTCTTTCTTTCCTCGTATTAGCAATATTGGATACATTAATCTATCCCTATGCAGTAACTTCAGCAAAACCCCTTCTCTTGGAACCACATGTTCAAATTCAAATTATTACCAGTTAGAATACATGTGAACCAGGAAGTATCTGGGATGTGTTGCTTCTAGCAGTAACCACTAAGTTGATCACATGAAAACTGAAGGCTTGTAATACAGTGCTGGACTGTGTACCTCAACACACGTGACTCACTTAATTTTATTTAATTTGCTACAGTAGAAATTGGCCTTTCCACTCACCACAGGTTGGTGTAGTGTCTGTGTCAGAGCTGAATGGTGGGGTGGAAGCAGCTCATAGACTGGGCTAAAGCACCATGAGATCAGATTTTCTAAGTGATGGCAGAGTTGTAATCTCTCAAGAAGAGATGAGGTAAAGGGATCAAAGATGTACTGAAGCACTAAAAGAATTGAACCACAGCTTGTTTCTTAGCTCTGTCATCTTTTTCTTCCACTAGACAAGTTTTCAAATCTTTGTTTTCCAAAGTCACCCACCATTTCCCCACCACAATAGCCACTGCAAAATGCTCTGGTTTAACTCAAGAAGCTTGGCCTGTAAAACCATGTGTGATTTCCTACCATAGTGGTTTTACTCTCCTTTTTCCTTAGTATTTTCACTATGCTGAACTCCTAGAAGTGCTGGTATGAAACTGATCAATAATACTTTTGTTGTATTGGACTTTACAACATAACACAAAATACTCAGTGAAACAAAATAGTGGAAAGAAATTACAGCCCCTTGTGCATCTTACCTAGATCTTCCTAATTGCTTTGATGTGCTCAATTAGTTAAAATGATAAATGCTGGTTTTGCCTTCATGTACTTTCAGCAGTGTTCAAGTGAGCCAGTAATTTTCTAGTCCTGTGGACGCAGCTGGGTAGCATTGTTCATGGCAAGGATCCTTGTCTGAGGTACACACTTTAGATGGCTCTAGGCTTTTATTAAGTCACTTTTGTGATTTAAAGGCTAGAGGTCACTTACCATCTTGCTGCATAGCAGAGAAGTTAGTGCTCCAACCCAAGCCTTGAAGAAATGCATGAAGAGGCTAGGCTTTTCCCAGCCTCTTCAGAGAAGAGGAAAGTGTCAATTGTCCACCAGTTTACAGGGAACATGAGCTTGAACTGATGGAGGGAAATGCAGACAATGGCATCTTAAGAGTGCACAGCTTTTATAGCTTCTCTTACAGAATCTGCAGTGTTGTAGGGGGAGAGCACAAGGGCTGAAGGAGGGAATGAGCCTGAAACAGTGTGGTTCTGCGATCACAGACATGAGCAGGCAGTGACTATCTCAGTGCATCCTCTTAAGCATTATGGTAGCTAATTCATTCAAAATCAGGAGAATGGCTGAGAAAGCAACTGGATGATTCCTGATGATCAAATTCATGGCAGTGACAATTCCTTCTGGCAGATCAGCTCAAATAGCAAACCTTGAAGGACACTCAGTCAGTCCTTCTGCTGAAACCAAAGCTGATTCCCATGTTACGGATACGTGAATCCTTAGGGAAAAGTTAACAGAAGACAGCTGTTCTGCTGGATGGCTCTGTGCACAGACACCTCTGAAGGAGGAGGTGGAGAATGAGGGAGAGATTGTCTGACACTCAGCTGGAAAAGTCCACCTGGCCAGAGCTCTGTGTGCCTGATTTACATTTTGCTAACACACAGGGAAAATTCTACAGAACCTGCCAGTAACACCCTTGTGTCCGGAAAGCCTGGTAATCAGTGTGTTTTGAAACACTTTTGGAGGGCTAAAATACAGAGCTTTCTGTGGTGAATGGTAACTTTGACAACTAATCAGTGAAGTAGTTTTCACATGCTGTTAGGTTAATAGCTTGCTCAGTGAGTTTCTGGATTTATTGGAAGCACAGAGCGTGACCCAGGTATTTTACAAAGACAATACCATCCTGTTTCCTAGTTCTTCCTCTTCATAGAAGGAACCAAATTATAAATGTGTCTGGGAAAATGATCTTTACATTCCTTCCTTGAATACACGTTTTTTAGAGAGAAAGTTTAATGGATTAAATAGAGAAGGCTTGATTATTTTGGTGAGACTTTATGAAAAATTACATTAAACTACTGGTGAGGAAATTATTTTCCTCAGCTATTGCACTCTGCCAGGTTCATTCAGGTATTGAATTATGCAAGGTGGTGACCTTGTTCTCAATCTGCTTTCTTTTTCTGCCTCTAATGTGGATACTTTGGTGTCAGTAGATGCTTCTTTTTTCATGAAGATTTTGCAGATAGGGTCTGAAAGTTGTTCAGAATATACCTGGAAAGTACAAATCACAAGCTTACATGCGTTACCTTCACTATGCATGTACATTACACATATTAGCATGTTATACAACTGGGTGGTGGTACATAAGCTTCAGTAGTAAGTTCATTGTAAAAAATATGTTTAGATTTACAGGCACCTTTACATCTTCACAGTCCTTTTTAGTGTGTTACTTGAATCCTCACATGAGGCAAACTAGATTACTGTTACCTTCATTTTTGCAGATGAAGAAAAATGCTAAGGGGTTCCAATGCCTGCAGCTGCACAGAAAGCCGATGGACTTGTCAGGATTAGCTCCTGGTTAGTCAGCTAGTGTGAGGCGTCATGTGGAGAGTACTGCTCTGCATCCCACACCATCAGCTCTTTCATCACCCCCTACTAGAAGACACAGGGCTCTTTGCTTTTTGGTTTGTCCTTGCTTTCATTAATAGCTAGTGCTTTAGCTTTGGTTTGGTTTTCTCTATCAGATGGCGAAGACAACAAAGTTTGGGCCTTTTATGTTTAAAATTTTCAGTAGGAGAGGTGGAAACCGAAAGAGAGCAATGTTATATCCTGTGCGTTTGGAAAGAGCTTTCTTTCTTGTGCTTTGTTCTTTGCAACAGTGACCAGATAAAGTTGCCCATTGTGCTGGGGGTTTAGCCATCACTGCATGTCCTAAGTAGAGATATGTTAGAGCATCTCTCTGCCTGGATGACTGTAGATTTTCTCCATCTGTCAGTCAGTGGCCACTTGTGGAAGTGGGAATGGCCAGATGTGGGCCCAAGCCAAAGCTGCTGTCTTGGTATTTCTCTGCCAGCAAGACTGCACGGCTGGCTGACAACTGGGATGGGTCAGAAGGACTGAGTGCTTACAGCCTTCCAGGAAGAGACACACCAAGAGTCTTGTGTTCTCAAACTCTGCCCAGCAGAGGGCTTGTTTGTCCAGAGCAAGCAAAACACTGTGCATTGGCATGTGTAGGACTGGCTGCCTTGCCAGCACCCTTGGTAGTCTCTGCAAGGGGGGGTTTATGTCCCATCTAAATGAAGGGTGGGTTTGAAACTACTCCATTCTAAGCACAGCCTGCTTCCCTGGACTTTGAGGTTTGCAGAGGCTGACTTTTCCCTCTGAGCTGGGCCTGTG